ATGCCTTCCAAAACAACTTTATATCTTTCATCCCAAGAGTACGCTTTAATATGCTCCTGGGTGCACCTTTGGGCTCAAAACTGCTTCAACAGACTCTCCAAAGTCAATTCTCTATTTAACTGGGGCACTTAAAGTTATGACCGATGTGGTGTGAAGCATAAAAATATGTTGTACCCTCGGGACACAAAGCCCTATGAGTTAGAGCAGACAGTGGAGTGTAAATCCCAACAACTCCTCCACTCCTGTACTTCGGTGGACACGCTGCATTTATCAGACACGCTGCATTTATCAGACACGCCAACATTTATGGGGAGATCCTTCTTTTTCTGAAAACAACATCTGTAAGAGTTCGAACAAAACTTTACATTTGCGCTGTAATAGTTTGTGTTATTAACTGTTTCAATTGTTTTTACGCATTATATCTGGAAAAAGACTCAATATCTTTGTATATCCTTAATTAAAGATTTTCCTTTATCCCTTCTCAGCCCAAAGCATCAAAAAGTGACAATTGACCCGCTACCAACGGTTAGTGGTGCCGGTTCCTAACACAACATGATGGGTTAAAGTCAACCCCTTATCTGGGCTTTACAACCGAGAGGAGAGGTAAAAATGGAGGACCACCATCACACCTCAACTCAGCTCTTTGCCCAAAGCATCTATAAGTGACACACAGGGCTCTTTTTTGTACTTTTTATACTTCATACTTCATCGTCGGAGAGTATGCATCGGAGAGCTCTTTGTGTCAACACATGGAGATGACGAAACATCCTCGGGTACGGCAAGCAAACAAAGTTATCAGACACTGAGGTCAGGGGGTGGCAAGTCAAGTGTGACCCTTTCTGATCTGGTCTATTGCTTTTGCGTAGCCAACACCAGGATGGAGAGGCATGCTGGTCCCTGGGAACCACCCTTCAGCAAGAGTCACACAAGTGTGCTGAGGCCTTTACAAGTGTGAAAAAGATAACACGTTTTATAATAAGATAAAGCATGTTGTGGTCTGATTTTGCAACCTTTGACCCAACTCTTTCTGTTGGGAAAAGCAAAACACATTTGTAATTTCCAGTTGGGTTCCTCTGTCTATAAGCAAGTCTCACAAACTCTTTCTTAAGAAAATGTTGGGGGAAAGTAGAGACACAATATTCCGTCCACTCATCTTCAGGTCAGTGCAATCTAGGCAAGGGTGAAGTTACCGGTAAACTGTTATAGGTGTATTATCTGTATTACCATTTCATAAACATAGACTTTGATTGTTTGATTGTTGTATTAGTCATGGGCTAAAAACATCAGCTACCCCCCTCACATCATCTTGACTGGAGTGGTGGTCAGTAATAGTACCAACTTTTATAATTAATAAATGAACTTGTCCCAAACTTGTTCGAACTATTGATGTGCACAAATTTAAACTGAGAGAGCCCCGCGGATATGCAGTAACTTCCAACCCCATCCTGTTCCCAGAGGCAGAGGAGTTTGATACAGTGCTGGAGGCATGGCTTTAGGGCAGGACAGCGGTCAGGCCACAGAACACTCCTGACCTTGCACTGGCACACATGCATCGGGTTAAGGGGGAAAGGCTTGTATCATCCACAGCACACAAGTCTATGAAAAAGTGTGTGTATAAGTGTGTACATGATTTAAATTACTTATGTGTGAATAAATAATGCAAAGTGCAAACCTCAATTTCTTTGAGGTTTTCTTCAGGAGGTCGTGCTCTTTCTTCTCATTTACTCATACACCCACTCGTAAAGCCCTGTTCTGTGAAATGCAATATCCTTGGCCTGTAAAATGCATTGTATGAATAAAGATGACTTACTTAAATAGCACTGAATGTTTTGCCATGCCACTCTCGCAGCCGCCTCCTGGGTGCCAGTCCCATAAGCGTCATGCGGCGTACTGGCTGATGATTTGACTGTGCGACTTTAGTGAGCATCAGAAAAGTTTATGTTAGAAGCCTCCCATAGGTGGCGCTCTAGAGTCATAATAGGTGTCTTTTTTCACACCATTACGCGCAGGCCATTACCAATTGTTAAGCCTAGTGTATACTCGCGCGGAGCTTACGGAGGTGACGTCACTTGCACAACGCGTTTGTCACCGCAAGGCCCTTACGTTGCCTGCCGCGCAGCATCGAAATGTTCTAACTACGTAAGGGTCGCCGCAAGGAAGCTCCGCTGTGATTGGTCCGTGTGTGTGTTTTGGAAGGAAGCACGGAGTGGCTGCAGCAGGAACATGGACGAGGGACTATGGAGCTTCGAAGGAACCAAATGAAAAGTAGTTTGGGCTCATGGCAGAGCCTGATATACGCATATTCTGTTGCATATCTAACATATATATAACTTATAAACTGTGCAGTCATTTCTTTTGCACTGTTCCTGTCTTTGTCTGAATCTGCACTCGTAGCTTATCGCGTCTGTTCCATTCCTCCTGCACTTTTAAATTGTTCATGTTTGCCTCAGATATTTACCACTTTTATTGTTTTTCTGTTTATGCTGAATACAATTTAATAATAACTATGTTTCCAACAAGAACTGTGTCTTTATTCACAACATCACAGTTAAATGAGTTAAGAAATAATGAGTCCATAGAACTATCACATAAACCTACAGTAGAAACACATGTAATGATCTCAAACAGCTCGGTTTGTTCATGTTTTTGTTCTGAAGAGGAGAAAGTAGCAGCGTAAATGAGAGCGCTTTGGTATCTAAACTCCTGTGAGATCGCCATCATGTGGTTGGTTGTGGGATTACAACATTCTCCTCTAAACTCCGCAAGAAGTATAAATTAAATTGTGCTTGCGTAGGTCCACCGCAACCGCTAACGTAAGCAGCGCCGCGCAAGTATACACTAGGCTTTTGTGATGTGAGTTTCAGCTCTGTAGTTCTGAGCCTGTGGCCAAGAGAGCATCAAACATGGAGAAATTCCCAACTGCCTTGAATGAAAACAGTGAATAAAAACTAACTTCTTATTAATGATTATATAAATTCAATGCGTTCAGATGGAGAAATGACATGGTAGAAGTCTGTGTGATGAGAAAAACCAGGGACTCGATGGAATTCAAAAACACAACACTGAACACTTGAACTGCCTGTAGGTGGCGCTGTTGCACTCACAGTTGTGTGGTGCATATTGATGTGTTCAGGGTCATACGCTGTATTTGTGAATTAATGACTCGCTTCATCGGGCATTTTCCCTGAAAAAGCTCAATCAAACATTTCAGCAAAAACACACAAAACAAAGGCCTTATTCACTATGGCGAGGGACAAAAACGGTGAAGAATTTTTAACTATTTTTCATAAATTATGTAACTTCCCATCTGTCCAGATTGGGAAACTCTGTATGATGAAAAACTAGGGACACGCACGAATCCAAAAAATGAAAAGTCAAATTGGTGGTGAAATTTCAGTCCATCATGACCAACTTCCTGTTGGGCCCAGAGCGAGGCTCCAAGAGAGTTTTAGGCTTGTCTTATAGAGATCTGTCAATCATCAGATTTTCTTGTACCTAGTCCAAAATATGCATGTCTGACTCTCTTAGGCTATGCAAATTGGAAATTTCCAAGGGGAACTATCGAGTTGGAGTTTGTCGGACAATCTGGAACTGTTAATTTTGTGACATTTTTTGCCAAACCAGTCGTTTAACACCCCCCATATGCGAACATTCGTGTATGTCTTCAGGGTCAAAAATCTAATACTTTCGTCAGAAAAAAAATGACCTCCTGTCAAAAGGAGGTCAAGGGTCTGGCGAGAGTCAGGCTAATACAAAAATAGATTAAATATAAAAATAACATGACGGCTTTCTGAATGTATTCACAATCTACAACAAACATTAGCAGCATTTTAAATCTTTCAGACATACTAAAGAGTTGTATTAGCTCTGACCCTCCAGCTGATACAGAAATGACAGGAACGCAACCGATTGAAGAGGATTAGATCGATAGATAGATACTTTATTGATCCCACATAGGAGAAATTCAGGTGTTCAGCAGCAGAAAACTCATCCATGTCTGTTGTACAGTCTGACAGCCGAAGGAACAAAGGATCTCTTAAAACATTCCCCTTCAGCAGCGCACTTATGATTAGGTTCATGTTACAATGTTGCTTTATCTAATGGTAATTTTAATATGAAAATTACATTTAAATTACAAGACTATTTGCCATTACATCAACCATGGCCAGTGATTTGGTGCTGACTTTCACAATTCAATTCCAGTATGCTTGTTTTATCTATGTACACTTGTTAACATTCGGATGGCAGATTTCCTGTGGGGTCTGTCTATTCTATCAGATCATAGAAACGATAGACTTTCCCTCTCAGCCCCTGTTTCGTTCTGGCTTCCTCTGATAAATATTAATCTGACTGAATGCTTGAATAGGTGTTTCCTTCGTTTGTTGTTGGAGCTCGGCGCCACCTCTGTTACAAACAAGAGTAGATCTGAATGGATATGTTGTACAGAGAAGATTGAAGTGGTTCTGTACTTCTCAGTATTCGACAAGGGCCAGTCCAAACCTGAGGGAGAGAATCTTTCCTCTACATACTAATGATACTTTTCTCTCATATTTGCTTTGTTCTGCTTTTAGTATTCACCTATCGTCTCTGCACGCACACAGTCGAGCCAATGGGGTTTTTCACAATTATAATAAAAATGAATTGCAAATATATTGGGCAAAGCTCATTGTGTGATTTTCACCAAATTAATTTCATTTTTATTGTTTTGTACAGTAGTTTTTTTTAATCTTAAAGACTAACCTTGTTTATGTAGAACGGCTTGTGAAATCAGGATTCCATCTTCTCCGCTCACACAAACACAAAATCTAAAACATTTGCTCTGCTGTCTTTATCGCAAGATTTCCATGACAGCAGGATTGTTTTATTTGAAAAAACAAATAAGTAGAATTTCAGAAACAATTTGTTCTTGTTGTCAAGTGTGTCACACAAACAAATATCCTGTTTGCCCTAATTTCCTTAAAAATGTAAAATTCGATACAATGAAAAAAAAACAAAAAACATCAAAAACACGAAAGGATTAGGGTCAGAGTCTCTGGTTTCCTGGTCGCAGCTCCACGCCTCTGGAAGGTCCCAACTGCCACGGCCAACAGCTTAGACCTGCAGCTGGAGACAGACCTAGGCGGGCTGAGACCATGGATCTGGGCTTTGACAGACCTGGGCGGGTGGAGACAGATCTGGACGGGTGGAGATAGACCTTGTCGGATGGACACAGACCTGGGCTGATCTGGGCGGATGGACACACACCTGGGCAGATCTGGGCGGGTGGAGATAGACCTGAGCGGATGGACACAGACCTGGGCAGATCTGGGCGGGTGGAGATAGACTTGAGCGGATGGACACAGACCTGGGCAGATCTGGGCGGGTGGAGATAGACCTGGGTAGATGCGGGCGGTTGGAGACAGACCTGGGCAGATGGAGACAGACCTGGGCGGATGGAGACAGACTTGGGTGGGTGGAGACAAATTCCTTAGGCTCAAATTAAATGATTGTTGTACAAGTGAACAAATCCATTGGTGACAGCTCTGTCAAAGAGAGACTATGCATTTGGCACTTTAGAACGTGTTGTTTAATGGTGCCTTCATGCGTGACAATTATGGTAAATAGCAATTGCACATGAACAGCTTAATCTCGTACTTTCTATTGGATAACTAGAAGATAATTTTTGGAGAGATAAAATAACCTGTGATCATTAAAATGGTGGACAGTGACAGAATACAGTAGATGGTCAGAGTTATGTGCTAAATAAGGCAATGTTTTTCCAATAATGTGCTTGTCTCTTGCTACACCAAACTAGAGTTTTTCACTTCAGAAAAGCTATTTCCTTGTTCATTAAACAGTAAGTACATCACTTGGTAGGGTTTGTCCACAAATTTAGGTGTAGTATTCAAATGACAGCATGATAGTGTTTTTGTGTGTTCTTTTTGAAAACAAGAATGAAGAAAGTTTTTTTTGTCAATCAAAACACAATGTCTTTGCTGAGTCTTGTTACAACAAACAATCAAAAATAACTTACCATTTCACCTTGGAGAGACCCACGAGGGGAAATGCAGTTAGAAGTTTTATTAGATTAAGCATGTTTGGCGCCCTAGGCCCGGGAGTGATGCTGTTGAGCGCGGCGCTTGCTCGTGTGCATAATCCCCCCCGGGGCCTAGGCACTGGTGGCGGCAGAGGCAGTAGGCAAGCACGCTTCGATGAGAGAAGGAGGAGGTGGGGCGGCGGAGGCTTGCAGACTTCAGAAGGCCGGGAAGTGGGCGTCTCCGGCTTTTAACTTGCTGTCCTGGCGGTTATTGGTAGACTGGATGTGGGCGTTGCTGGTATGATGAGCCGAGGATGAGAGCAGGCCTGTAGAGCTGGGCAGCAGCAGCCGGGTCTACCACGGTGAACTTGCGCGAAAGCTCCATTTCACCTTGGAGAGACCCACGAGGGGAAATGCAGTTAGAAGTTTTATTAGATTAAGCATGTTTGGCGCCCTAGGCCCGGGAGCGATGCTGTTGAGCGCGGCGCTTGCTCGCGCGTATAATCCCCCAAAGATGCGGGCCTGCGATGGGATAGCAGGACACACTGCGCAGGCCTGAGAGCATGAGTGCGAGGCTTCTCGCACGGTCGCTCAGCCAGGCTGCGTCTGCTGGGGGCCCGCATTTGTTTGGGCAGAGATGCGGGGCCTGAGCGCGCTGAGAACATGAACGCAGGGCAGCAGGGTTGCGTCATGTTCTCCAGGCGCTGCCGCTGGGAGCAGTGTTATCCCTAACGAGCTGGGAACATGAGCGCGGGGCCGCTCGGCACCCACTCCGGGGAGTAGAGTGAGAGTCAGCTCGGTGCATCATGCTCGCCAGACGCTGCAAGCTAGGAGCAGGTGTTATCCCTAGCGAGCTGAGAACATGGGCGCGGGGCTGCTCAACACCCGCTCCGGGGATTGAGTGCGAGTCCAGCTCAGAGCATCATGTTCAGCCAGACGTTGCAAGCTGGGGCATCTTGCGCGCGCTGAGAACATGAGCGCGGGGCAGCAGGGTTGCGTCATGTTCTCCAGGCGCTGCAAGCTAGGAGCAGGTGTTATCCCTAGCGAGCTGAGACCATGAGCACGGGGATGCTCAGCACCCACTCCGGGGAGTAGAGTGCGAGTCAAGCTCGGTGCATCATGTTCAGCCAGACGCTGCAGCAGCGGGAGAGCGTTTGAGAAGAGTGCGTGCCGCCACCAGGATCTTATTGCTTTGCTTACTTTTGCTTTGCATTGCTTTGCTGGGAGCTTACGAGGAAGCCAGTAGTCGTTGTGCTGCCATGATAACGTTGCATCTGGCCTGATGTAGGTGGAGAGAGCCAACGAGGACCAGCGCCCCAGCTGTTGCAGAGAAGAATGGGGGAGCCCCAGCGAGGCTGCGCGCGTGGCAGCGCCTATCCTGAAGGAGTGGGCTGTATAGAGCTGGGGAGACAAATTACAGAGGAGCAGTAGGGATCTTAGCTGAACTCTGAACCAGGTTGCTGTCATGGGAAGGTTGTCTGGAGTGAGAAATAGAGGTCCGTTAAAGTGGTTCTCACCCCCGCTCCTCGGAGCTTACGTTACTCACATTTCCTGTTCAAATCTTCCTCTAAATGGGCGTAGCCTGGAGGACTGAAGGGGGCGTGAACGAGACTGGGCCGTTTACATTGCTCTGGGCGGGGGGCTGCTGACGTCAGGTCTTGCTTCAGACGTCAGGTCCAACTTCTGTGCCAGTGTTGGCGCCAGATTCAAAATTCAAATGTAGTAATACAGGTCGCCAGCAGATGGCGCCTCACAGACGGTTTTAGGCAGAAAGTCTAACTTTCAACTAATTTGCACCAAAGTGACAAGATTATGACCAGGATATGTAGACAACACTATTGGACACTCATTTATACCGTTTATCAGCAAAAAAAAGTGGATTTGAGGGTGAGTTGTCCTTTAAAATCTCCTTTTTGACAGCGGAGGCGAGTAATGCATCATGGACCTGTAGGGGCAGAGAGATGTATCAGAGCGAGCTATTATTATGTTGCAGGCGCCTTTGAATGTTTGAATGTTTGAAATGAAGGTTGAAATGGTCAGGGGACATTATGTTGGGTGAAGAAGAGCGACCTTTGTTTAATGCTTCCACTACGTCGAGATTATCACACATGACAGATATCCTCTTTCTCTGCCACGTGTGATTCCACAGCGCGCAGGCCACGACCACTGGGAATATCTCGTGTAGGGCAGAGGAGATGCTCCGGCGAACCACTGGTCCTGGAAGAACCCCCCAAAACCCACGGAAGGGGCAGCGTCCGTGTAGAAGCGGAGACCTGTAGGGGCAGAGAGACATACCGGAGAGGGCCATTGATGTTGCAGGCGCCCTTACGCTTAGAATCTTGGGTTGGAGAGTAGATAATCAGGATAGTAGGATAGGTCGGGAAAAGCAGTGTCTCGGACCGCATTGAAGGTTGAGTGAGCAGTAGTGAACTCGCTTATGCAGAGAAGCCATAGAAGGCGAGCAGGAAGATGCTGCGAGGAGGGCAGACATGTACTTGGAAGATGAGCCGGAGTTCACTGCCGCTCAGAGCTGCTGCAGGATGGGCAGCATGATGGGGAGCCTGCGATCAGAAGAGTGAAGAATACAGTTATGGATGCCTTTGATTAGGAGTTTGATTGACGGCTCAGCGCAGCTACTCGGCCAGCTGCATCTGATAGAGAAGATTAAGTATAGAGATGAAGCACGACCGCCGAAGCGACCCTGGGAGCATAGGTGTGAGTCCAGCGCAGCGCGGCATCCTCAGCCGGGCTGCATCCATTAGAAGCAGAATAAGGAGCAGAACAGCTGATGCGAACTGAGAGCATGGTGCGAGGCAGCTCAGCACAGCTCTGCATCTATTTAGTATGGATTTGAGTTGGGCTCCGGACCAGTTAGCCGTCAGGGGGAGGAGAATGGAGCAGCAATGAGGGAAGGAAGCCTGGTTACTGCTTGCAGTTTGTGCGCTGAGGTTTGAACTGGATCCTGCCCAGGGAGACTGGAACAGAAAAGATTTATGAATGACACTGAATGATAAGGAGAAATTGAATGTTAGTATGAGATCTCCAGACCCCTAAAACAGCGGTGCACGAGGGGGGCCCAGCCTGGACGGGGCCCGAGAGAGTCCAGCAAGGCGAAGCGCGAGCCACCCTGGCGGCGAGAGCAGCGCCGGTGTAACGCCGAGATACACTGCCTTGAAGAGATGCACTGCCTCAGCTGTTTATGATGTAATGCAAACCTGCGCATGCGCGTCTCACGCAATACATCCATGGTCTCACGGCAGCCGAAGCATACCAAGATGGCGGACCGTGAATGTCTTTAAAGTTAAAATACGAACAAATTAAGACACGAATGTCACTTTTAATGCAATTTGAGGCGAGATGTTGGTGGTTCCGTTTTGTCACATGTGGGTTTTAAGAGTAAAAGTTTTGTGCAAAGTTTAGTTTAAGCAGTCAACTGCGCCTGTGAAACCACAAAGCTAATGTTTTCATAGCAGTCCGCGGCTGCTGACGTGGGCTGATGACGCGTCCTGTGGCAACTCTACACTGGTCTGTCGGCTTGATAATGGAAATAATAAATTTCATTCAATACATGTATCGTACTGTATTTAATATGATTAACAATAGTGTGTTCAAACAAAATATTTAATTAGATTGATTTTTTTCCCCATTTTCAATTATCAACCCGACAGACCAGTGTAAGAGTGTAGAGTTGCCACAGGACGCGTCATCAGCCCACGTCAGCAGCCGCGGACTGCTATGAGAACATTAGCTTTGTGGTTTCACAGGCGCAGTTGACTGCTTAAACTAAACTTTGCACGAAACTTTGACTCTTAAAACCCACATGTGACAAAACGGGACCATCAACATCTCGCCTCAAATTGCATTAAAAGTGACATTCGTGTCTTAATTCGTTCGTATTTCAACTTTTAAAGCAATTCACGGTCCGCCATCTTGGTATGCTTCGGCTGCCGTGAGACGCGCATGCGCAGGTTTGCATTACATCATAAACAGCTGAGGCAGTGCATCTCTTCAAGACAGTGTATCTCGGCGTTACACCGGGATCCCGAGAAGCAGTGTGTGGAGAACGCCGGGAAGCAGCCGCCAACGGCCGTACGGCAGGTGCCCACGAAGCGTACGCGAGCCACCAGCAGAGGCACCGGGCAGAGGCACCAGCAGAGGCACCAGCAGAGGAACCAGCAGAGGCACCAGCAGAGGCACCAGCGCCGGCAGAGGCAGAGGCACCAGCACAGGCACCAGCACAGGCAGAGCCTGCAGACCAGTGCGCGGGGCCCGGACGGAGCCTGCAGACCAGTGCGCGGGGGCCCAGACGGAGCCTGCAGACCAATGCACGGGGCAAAACAGAGGGCCTGCAGACCTACAGGGCTGGAAGCGGAAGTGCGAGAAGTTGCGGGAGTCCCACCCGTGGATACAATCAAAACACGCGTGCCGGTTGCATCCTGCCGAGATCGCCGGCGTCGTCCTCCATGGATTTCTCCCAGTGCTGCTTCGGACACATTTCGCCTCTGGAACAAAACTGAGTGTGCGTTCGGAATCAGCTGTGGAACTCCGGCAAAGCCCCGAAGTTTCCGTAAGGCGGGGAGACGAGAAAGGAGCAGGGCCGTGGTCAACATGTCGCCCTTCCAATCCATCATTAACTCATTCACTGCCCATGACGACAAAAGTCGTTCTATTGTATAGAAGACAAGTTAGACGACTTTTTCATGTTTTTACACGGGAGGCTACAGTAATGTCTGGCGCACCTTATGCATGCGCCACAATACTGATACATTGTACAAATATACCTGTAATGATAAATCAACACCAGTAGGATGCAGTGTTGCGCCACAGGAGAGCTTAAAAGCCAGTGGAGAGGAGAAGGAGTGTGGGAGTTTTGGAGAGCGTGGTGAGATAGTAGCATAGCGAGTAGCGAATTTAGCGATAGTTTAGATTATATAGGTGAGAGTGATGGCGAGTTATAAGCAGTTGACACTGCTTGAGAGTTTGGCTCGTCGATCATTGAGTGAGGTCGAGAGGGGAGCGAGTGTAGACCCCGGCGAGGGTCCATCATCGCAGCCAACTTTGCTTAGAGGGAGAGCGAGGAACAGGGGGACGCCTGCCGCCTCTCGCAGTGTTTCACTTGCGGCTTTTTCTGACTCGGATGACTTCAGCGAACCCGATCCTGACTCATCAGATGAGTGGTTGCCGTCTGATATCAGCAGAGCATCCTCTCCAGAAGCTCCAGAAAGAGCTGAAGGTAAGAACTTGCTATGTTACCTAGAATATGCTGACTTGAAAGGAGGGAAAGGCGCAGAAACTTGCTTTGATCTTCAAAGTAACACCGCGCTCAAATCCCTACTGCTTCTTTAGTACATGCCACTTATGTTTTATCATTTTAGTATTTATTATGTATTTGTTTCGTTATATCTTTTTATAGTGTCATAGCTCTGACTAAATGAAATGTGTTCTCCATTCACAGGTTCTGATAAAAGTAGAGAGCCCTCCCCCATTGGGGTTGGCAGAGCAAGGAGCAGAGGTAAAGATAAATCCTCCTCATACCATTGTATATATTTTTTGTTAGTATATTCTCCTGGTAGACAGATTTTTTATATATATATGAATGAATAATACATATTCCTATTATTTACAGGTGGTGCAGCAAGAGGCGGTTCCTGTGCAAAGAAAGGTAAATAAACTAATTTCTTCTCTTGCACATCATATGGCAATATAATATAGTATACTATATTATTAGTATGTTATTTTTTTATGTATATTGTTTTTGTACATTATTCATTTACACATGAATGAATGTACAACATTCCTTCATTCATTCATTCATTTTTGCATACAACTATTGTTTTGGTCCAAAAGCAGTCAGTCAATAATGTGGGAGGGTGGCCTTCATTGTATTTTATGTATTTATTATTGTAACAAATTCACTGTATAATATAGTAATTGTATTTATCCACTTTGTAGCCCGTGCATCACGCAGAGGCTCTGGGGAAGATGGCTGGCAGGAGAATGAGTGGGAGCCGAGCCAGTTGCCCTTCACTGGAGCACCTGGACCTCAGGGACCTCCTGCGGAGCTGGATTCGTCTGATCCAGCTGACTTTCTAGAGCTCTTCCTGACGGAGGAACTGCTCCAACAGATCGTGGACCAGACGAACCTCTATGCCAGCCAGTATTTGGAGACAAACACTGAGCCTTTGCCCCACAGCAGGAGTAACAGGTGGAAAGAGCTCTCGGTCCCTGAACTCAAACGGTTCATCACTGGGTTCATCAAAAAGCCAAGTATTGAGTCCTACTGGTCTGTGGATGAGCTTGAAGCTACTCCATATTTTGCTAAAGTAATGTCAAGGAACAGGTACCAGCTCATCTGGAGGTTCCTCCATTACAACAATAATAGGTCACATGATGTAGGTGACAAAATGTTCAAAGTCCGCCCTGTTTTGGATTACCTGGTCACCAAATTCAAACAGCTGTACAATCCAGGGAAAAACATTTGTATAGATGAGGGAATGATGCTGTGGCGGGGGCGTCTGGCTTTTAGGGTCTACAACCCTCAAAAGCCAGTGAAATACGGGATAAAGTCCTACATTCTGTGTGACTCGGCCACAGGCTACTGCCACAACATGCTCCCTTATGTTGGGACAAGCGCCACACTGGAGGACACGGTCTTCTCTCTCCTGGGTTGTCTCCAAGGCCGAGGACACACACTTTTTATGGACAACTTTTATAACTCAGTTTCCCTCAGTGAACATTTACTGGGGAAGAAAACTAATGTGTGTGGAACACTGAGGAAAAATAGAGGTGAACCAAAAATGATAAAAGAGGTCACAAAAACTCAAGTTGGAGACAGGATTGTGAGACACAACGGGAAGGTGATGGTGGTGGCATGGCAGGATAAGAGGCTTGTGAAAATGGTGACGACCTGTCACCATAACACTATGGAGAAGGTGGAAGTGTGGCAGAAGGGGGAGAAGCAGAAAGTGCCTCAGTGGAAGCCAGCGTGTGTTGTGGAGTACAACAAGTGCATGAACGGAGTGGATAAGTTGGACCAAAACGTGGCCTACTATCCATTCATTAGACGGTCCACAAATTGGTCCAAAAAATGTGTGGCCTATCTATTCCAGCTGGCAATTTTTAATGCTTTTGTCCTCTATCGAGCCAGACACCATCAAGGAGAGTGCAAACACCTCCTGCAGTTCTTGAAGAGTGTGGCAAGATCCTGGACGTCAAGGAGGCAGGAGGAGGGAGGAAGAGATGAGGAGAGTGCTGCTGTTGTGGGGGCTGTCTTGCGCACGCACAACCCCAGGGCTCCTTACTTGGTTGACCCAGAGAGCCGGCTGGATGGGCAACTAAGGAGGCACAAAATGGAGCACCTGATGGCCACTAGCAGGAAGGAGAGACCGAACAGAAAATGTTGGGTCTGTACACGGAGGGGTCTTCGCAGGGAGACCAACAAGTGGTGCGCGGCGTGCCATGTTCCACTGCACACAGGAGAGTGTTTCAACCTCTACCACACGAAGCTGAACTATTGGGAGAGAAAAAGCAACTGAAAAAGCAGACACAAACGCAGACACAAACTCACTCACATGCACACACTCACAAACTCACATGCACACACTCACTAACTCACATGCACACACTCACTAACTCACATGCACACACTCACTAACTCTCATGCACACACTCACTAACTCACATGCACACACACACTGACACACACACACACACTCAAATTCACACGCTTCATTCTATTTTATTATTTATAGTTTTATTGATCTTTGTTGTTGTTGGATGTTTTGGTTGATGGTTTTGGTCTGAATAAATTGCCAACAATTTGCCATCAAAAGTATTATTTCAGAGTCATGTTTTCATATTTTTTGTAATGGAACAAGTGTGGAGATGTTTTGAGTTGTCACTAAAGCAGCAAAAATGCATCTAAAAGTCACTTTTCTGCTTGATATGTTCCTGTTTACATACAGCTTGTTTTCTCTGTTTTCTTGCTCAGACCAGGTGTTGTGGGTGAAAGTATGCTTTGTTCTATGGCAAATAACTCAAGAACGGTAAGAGGTAGAAACAAACTGTTTCTTTTCAGAGTAAAGCAGAGAGGTTAATCTTTAATTTGGTGCCCTTGGTGTTTACATCGTCTTAAAAATGAATATTCTGTGGCACTTCAAAGTTGGGTCAAATCACCTGAAATTGCTGGCAGAACGCACTTCTCAAATCTGAAAATGCCTGGCAGTCAGTGAGTTAAACATCAGAAGAAAATACAGAACCAACATTCTCACTGGTGCACACTTGCGCGAAAGCTCCATCGGAAAGTCTTGCAGTTTTTCCGATGTGGTTTTACTGCAAATGGCAAATAAATTAATCTGAATCCGAAACATTCCTATGCGAATAACAGATGTCTCCTGGAGCCATCTTGCTGCTTTGGTTATGGCAGATATGCATGAACGATCACTTTTCCACACGTTCATTAGCTCCAACTCCACTTCACACTCATTGCAGATTCACATTGGGCCCTTTTTCTTTCTGCTGCACTTTCAAAATGCAACATGCTGCAGTTTTGTTACCTAATCATTTAATACTAGTGACCTATGCTATTTAATATGCAGCCCCTCCTTTATCCCTCAGATAAACTAATTTAAATACATTCATTTAACGATAGTGACCTGTGAGTAATGAGATTAATGCTGTAAAGATGGCGCCGTGGCAAGAGCTCTGGTGTGTGCCGTCTGGTGCACGCTGGGGTAGTCTTGCAATTTTTCCAACGTGGTTGTACTGCAGTGGCAAATACATTAATCTGAATTAATGCACATTGCTCCTCTTTTATCCCTCAAATAACAAAGATTAATTCCATTTAATATGCATTGTCCCTCCTTTATCACTCAAATACAAATAAATGCATTGATCTCTGAGTGGGATCAATATATATATATCCTATCTTCCCCCAAAACACGAGCCACAATGAAAGACTCGGGTGCGCACCAGTCACAAGGTAGTAGAAGCTGCAAGTTAGCTCGAACACATGTAAAAACGGAGCCAGCAGACCAAAGCACGGGCCGAAAACTGACGCCTGCAGCCCAGTGCGCAGGGCAAGAACAAACCGTCCGCAGGTCAGCAACTCACCACCACACATGCCAGAAGACGAGGGAAAAGCAACGGAACAACGCGGCACCGCCAATCGGAGGCAGAGACACGCACGGCACCGCCAGACAGTCTCCACGCAGCAGCAGACCACGAGGAGACGAGCAGCACAGAACCCGCGGAGGGGCCCCGCGGAGCAGCCCGCAGAAAGAGCCCGCAGAGGAGCAGAGCGGCGGAGACACAGCAGGTGCAGGGACGCGGAGGAGGAGCAGACCACAAGCAGCCAGACTGAGGACAGCCGGCCACGCGCACGAGCAACACGTGAGCAGAAAGCGACCCCCCCAGAACAACGCATGCATTGCGAACAGGTGCGTTAGCGACATGCACCTTGCAGACTTGAGAAGGCCGGGAAGTGGGTGTCTCCGGCTTTTAACTTGCTGTCCTGGCGGTTATTGGTTGACTGGATGTGGGCGTTGCTGGTATTGATGAGCCGAGGATGAGAGCAGGCCTGTAGAGCTGGGCAGCAGCAGCCGGGTCTACCACGGTGAACTTGCGCGAAAGCTCCATTAGCAAAACTAATATCACCATCAAACTGCCTGTGAACTCTGGCGAGCTGGGCTGAAAACTTCAACCTGGAGCAGCTCGGTCTGATGCGTGTTTCCCATTTTCTTTTTTGTATTTAATTTTGAATTTACAGTTTTTTATTTATTTAATTTTTTTTACAATTTTCGATTTTGGTTTACAAATATAAAAATAGAAAGATGTGAAGTACACTGACCTTAGTTGAGCCCTTTCAAAAGCTCGTTCATCTGCTTGATGCTGATGAATCATAGTAATTGAAGTGTTTTAATGTAAAGACATGTAGCTGTCAGCGAAGAAAATGGAAATGCATTTTTCATATGCCTTGCTCAGTAGTGGTGGACAAGGACATGATTGGAGTCAATTACCTCAATCCTTTTATACATGTATGATGGACCACTTTGTCAAACTGTGAGGAAAGAATATGAGTGAGTAATATACTACTGTCTATCAAACATGGAGCATGCATAACTCAAAGCCTCCGACATGTGCACCGTGTGCACGAGAGGCACAACAACAGTATTGTGTTGGTGGAATGTGGGATTGAATGGCTCACTTCTAGTGATTACTTTCAATATTAAAGACAAGTATCTGCCATGTGCACAAACAGAGCCACACACAGGTATTCTTGTACAAGACTTTCACAATTCAAGTTAATAATCTTTACTTTCGAATGTGCTAGAAGGGCAGAAAGTTATAAGTAGCTCTGAAACATTTGTTGTTTTGTGTTTTACAACTAGGGATGTAAAAAACTATGCATTTTCATACCGACCACCGAGCCTCATTAACCGGTTGAAACCGGTTAACCGCGTAGTTAAAAATATTCCACGTTCTTTGAAATAGCAGCCATTTCGAGCCGCGTACTTTTCATAAGTTTATCTATGCGTTCTACTAGATCAGAGCTGAGACAGCGGCGCCAAAACCCGCAACAGCTTCGGCACCTTTGCGCACAGAGAACTGCTTTTTTAATCTTCCCATACTGTGCTGCGGGTAAAGCATTTTTAAGCAAAAGACGGCTCGTCCACATGGTCAGGGCAGCGAGTGACGAGCCGCGTCTCGCAGGTCTCCGCTAAAGTTTAAAAGTGATGTGTGTGGATCTGATCTAATGACAAGGACCAGCAGCACAAACAGGTTTCATGTGTTTGACTGAAGCCGCGTATTTGCGAGGATTCTTTGGGCTGCGAGACACAGAGGAGCGCGACAGACCGGTATGTGTGTGTGTACAATACATGTGTGTATGTATGTGTGTATGTGTGTGTGTGTACAATACATGTATGTGTGTGTGTGTAAATATAAGCTCCAATGTAGTTCTGACCTGCACTAGTGTGGAACTTTGGCGGTAACAGAGGGGAGAGATGATGCGTGTGGATGTTACGTATGGAGGGGGGGAAAGTGTTTGTGTGTGTATGTGTGTGTGTGTGTGCGCGCGCGTGTGGCTGCGTGCATATGTGGAGCGTGCGCCATGAAAGTCGCCCGTAGTCTACAGGGCTCGACACACGGGAGGCGACAAATGAGAGCGATCAGCGAAACTCAACGCTGTCGCTCAGATAACATGACAGACGAGCGCGATGCGGCTTGACGACAGCGTCGAAAAGTTGAGCCGATTTCAACTTTCTGGGATCGCGTCGCTGACCTGCGCGTGCACGATACATGCACGAGCAGGAGGATTTCACACGCACGTTTTTCGCCCGTCGCTAAGCAGGAGGCTCGCTAGCGATTGACGCTATGTCGCGCACGTCCCATTGAAATGAATGGAGGCGATGCGATGTCGCCTCCCGTGTGTCTAGCCCTTAAGGGCTCGACACACGGGAGGCGACAAATGAGAGCGATCAGCGAAACTCAACGCTGTCGCTCAGATAACATGACAGACGGGGCGCGATGCGGCTTGACGACAGCGACGAAAAGTTGAGCCGATTTCAACTTTCTGGGATCGCGTCGCTGACCTGCGCGTGCACGATACATGCACGAGCGGGAGGATTTCACACGCACGTTTTTCGCCCGTCGCTGAGCAGGAGGCTCGCTAGCGATTGACGCTATGTCGCGCACGTCCCATTGAAATGAATGGAGGCGATGCGATGTCGCCTCCCGTGTGTCTAGCCCATTACTAATGCACTGGCGCACACAGCTAGATAGGGACCCGCTCGTCACATCGTGCAAATAGGGCTTAAAATAGCGTTATGAAGAGACCTCCCCTCTCCGCTTTTTCTTATTTTTAACCGACAGCTTTGACCGGTTAACGCTGTGACGGTCAACCACCGGTTAACCGGTCACCGATTTACATCCCTATTTACAACTGTTATTTTTCTTGCCTTTTTCTTCCTGAGATGTTACTACAGTACAGGGTTCATGGTTTTACACTGGTCCAGACCAGAGCAGAAAGGATTTATGGTTCGAAACAAGCAGATCAGGCAAAAATTCACTGGAGGAATGCTAACTTTTGGAAAAATGTGAATGAAGCATTCAGCATTGTACTTGAGATTAGAGCAAAGAGAATGGTCCGCACCAAACCACTCGTCCATCTCTGCTGTTGCATTTTATTAATACTATAGTTAGCTTTTTAGAAAGATCAATTTATTTGTTTTATTTGTATGGATGGATGTGTTTTTTTGCGGCTACTGAATTTCTCCTACGGGGATCAACAAAGTATCTATCTAATAAAAAATGAATGTTGGTCTCTCAATGGTGAGTGTAAATGTAAAGCGGCATTGTATTTCTAAACACAAATATACAACAAAATAAAAGAAGCACTTTTGTTTTCCCTTTTTTGTGGGTTCAACTTGAAGCCGTAAAACTTTGTATACATGCACAATAGACCTATCTCTATCAAAAAGTCTTGTCAAATCTGTCTGTTTCTTGGCTGAAACAGTACCTCTTGGGTCTAACATTT